TATTGAATAGTGCCACAGAAGGTGAATTAGAATAGGACTGAGGGGTACAAGGCTATTGTAGGCCTAGTCTGAACATTGATAACCCTACAACCCTTACTAAATCACTTAACCTCCCAGTTTACTCATCAGTAAAATAAGGGGATTGGACTAATTTATATTGTTAGTCCCTTCCTGCTCAAAAAAAGTTTGTGGTTCTAAGTCATAGAACTCTTTTGGACCCCAGAGAGATGTTAAAACAAATGGTCATCCCTTCAGTACCATGGAGAGTGCAGTGGGCTACCACAGAAGCCACTTGGGCCACCTCAGTACCATAGATAGAGCTATGAGGTGCTAGAGGGGCTCTTTGCCATTTTAGCATCACAGATACAACACAGAAAAACTAGAGCATTTTTTTTTCGTTCCTATCTGAAAACCATAGAAAAAAACCCAGTGGTACCAGAGGGATTATTTTGGCCTTTTAGATGTCACTGAAAATAGAAAGAGCTAATAGAAAATAGATGTAACTAGAAGAATTTTAATTAGCTATAAGGAGCATCCTGACAGTTACAGTTTGTACATCCTGGAATGAGTTACTGAGGCATCATATTTGGGTCCATCACATTCTGTTGCTCTCCTGGGGATTCCCGGAACATCCTGGTGTACAGCCAATCTGGTATATTCAGAGGAAGCAGATGGTGGAGGCGGGGGGGCTGGGAATACTGCATGGTCATAGCTGACTAACCTATGGGCACATACTCTCATTCTGAGAAGATTCTAGGGCCCATAAAACTGTCTGTAGGATAGCCAGCAAAATCTCATAGGAAGCTGGCCTCATATCTGAGGCAAGAAGAGTGGGAATAGGGCAAAGCTTCCTATCCCAAAACAAAACAACAATAAACCACTTTGCACATAGCAGTTTCCAGAACAGAAATAGAGTGATATACAAGAAGGCCCAAACTGAAGCTGAATTCCCCAGCAGGGAAAGTTTCCCCAGAAGGTGGCCTAAAATCAACAAAACTCACTGAGATACCTTCCTAGGCCCAATCAAGATCTCCTGAATCATCTCCATATCAAACCAGGTTCCAGATACCTGATCCCATGATTTTTTCTCAGTAGGGAAAAGAACTGACAGGGAATGGGATACTATGAACTGCCTTGGAACCGAGGTCATGCATATATTGCCCTGGACAATAATCACAGAGTTTTCTATAGTCAGGCCTTAAACACCATCCCGAGACTTGGCCAGACAGCAGCACTGACCTACTTTCCACCCCCACTGGGAATCAGGGGTTATCTTGCCCTTATTTGGATTCTGTAAGGATGAAGGGCCAGGGATAGGTATCAGAAACCTTTCGAAAGCAACAGGCCAATTATCCTTACATGCTAGGGCAGCTGGTAGGGAAGTGGGTGTGGATCACTAAACCTTACTCAGTAGAGAAGGATGGAATGGTTGGTGAAAAGACTTAGAAACAACAAGCACAGGTACATAGAAGTATTTGCTAAATGGAACACAAAGGCTGTCCCTCAAGTCTTGTGATTCAAAAGTTTTTAGGGTCAAAGTGTAAGGAGCAAGGGTTTAGGACTTCTGGGGTCCAGTTGTAACTGCCTCTGGTCACCTCTTAACACAACAGTTTTCCCTCTTGAGAATCCTACACCTCCCGAATCTGCTAACAATTATGATTACCACTGCACTAGATGGGGTTAAAAGCAAAGGGAGCTTCTAGGGCGGTCTACAGTCAAGACTACCTTGATCACACACACACACCAGTAGTTCACTTTTATGGTCTCCTCTCCATGGCCCTCTGAACCTCACTGCTCAGATAGCTCCTCCAAACCCACTCCACTCTGCAGCTCGCCAGCCTTTTTAGACTGAGTTCTTGGTAAAGCCTCCTTCCCTGTGTCCTCACTCTCCTGAGTTGGAGACATGGAACCTCAGCCATGGACTCCAAAGGTACAGCAGGAAGCAAGAGGAAGGCACACCTGCTCACCTGCTGCCATCCCACCATGGGGAATCTTATCCCAGAGGCATGTCCTAACGCAACCCCGATTTTGATTTTGAAAGTTCTGGAGGACCTGGGTTTGGCAACGGGAGTCATGTAGACAGCCCTAAGTCCCCTTAAGTAGAGCTGACCCTAGAAAAGTCAGTATTCGCACCCACGTGAGCCTCAGTCCTCAGACTGGGACGCAGGGGTGACCAAGGGAGCCTCTGGGAAAATCCCCCTCCCAGAAATAGATTGCTAAGTAGGGTAGGACCTGCAATCCTGCCCGAGAGGTTTTTCCAGCAGCACCTCAGACCCCTCCCCAGGAAGATAAGCCAGAAGGATGATGGGGGGCAGGGTTGGGAGATAGGGAGGCCAAGGCTCAGCTACCCCCGGCCAGGAGAACAAAAGCTGAGTTACAGCCGCCTCCGCTGCTGCCGCGGGCCGAGCTCTTTGTGACACTTTGTTTGGGACGCAAAGAGGGAAGCACCCCCCATCCTCTCCCCTCCCCCGCCACCCCGTGCTCCCGGAGAGTTTGGGCTCCTTCCCCCTCCCCCACCAGCCCTACCTGGGCCGGGGGTTGAGGGGTGCACATCCACTCAGGCTCGCGGCTCTGCCGCCCCTCACCCCCAGGCCCCTCGCGCCCTGCCTTCGGGCCCCTACAAAGACACCCGCCACCTCCCCCGCCACATCCCCCCCGTTGGCCCTTCCCTTTGGTGTCTGCTCCCCCAGCTCCTCCACCTGGCCCCCCCTTCCTTGGGGCCCCCCAGCTCTCCAGGCTTCCGAGACCGCCACCCCCACCCCGCCCCCCCAGGAGCTCTGGGCGAAGTTTGCTTGGGGCCGAGCCGGCGCCCCTCCCCCGCCCCCGCCCCCTGCACCTGCTCCGAGCCGGGCGCGCTGAGCGGGCCCCCCCTCCGGGAGGGGGGGAGGGGGCCGGGGGCGGACTTGGGGGCCCGAGGAGTGGGGGAGCGGACTACTCAGCGACCCGGCGGCCGGCGGCGGTGAGCCGGGGCGCGGCGCGGCGGCAGCGGGCGGCGGCCGGGCGGCGCGGCGTCAGCGTTCTGGGGCCGGGGGATGCGCGGGCCCCGGCCCCCCCGCCCCCGGCCCGGCCCCCGCCCCCTCCCCGGTCCCCCGCCCCCGGCCCTGGCCCGCATTGTGTGCGGCGGGAGGCGGCCCGGCCATTAGCATGCGGGGGGCGGCGCGGCGGGGCTGGGAGCCGCGCGGGAGCCGGGCTCTGGCTCCGGGGACAGGGAGCTGGGGACCCCGGGAGCCGCGAGAGGCGGCCGCCAGGGGCGGGGTGCGGGCGGTTTGGAGACGGGGGGCGCTGTCGGAGGGAGTAAGGGAGGGAGCGGGGGTGGGGCGCACAGAGGATTCCAACAGGAGACTGGAAGAGATTTTGAAAGGTCATCTCGTCCTTCCCCCAGCCTCCAAGCAGCACTGCCCCTCCCTCCCTAAACCCGGACATACCAGGGAAGGAGTTGGCTCTGCCGCTCTTTCTGCCCCAACATGCACAGACTCGGGAAGTTCTTCCTGGGGTTTTATCTCAAAGCCTCTCCCTTACAATTTCTGTCTCTCTTTTGGGGGAGGAGGAGGGGCGATTATAGAGATAGTTAATGTCGGCCGTATAAGAAACATTATTAAAGTTACTCTTCGGTCCTTTCCGTTCTTGATAAACAATTCCTGCTCCTTCCTCTCGAATTCTATTTTCCATCCCTCAAGTCACTTTAATGGCTCTTCAATACAACAAATATTTACTGAGTGCTTACTAAGTGCCAGGCACTGGGCTCAGCGCTGTGAGGGATGAGAGAGAAGTGGTACCTTCCTTCCAGGCGATTGTAGTCTAGACTACAAACTAGTAAGTAGTATACTCAGATTTATTCAATATTTACTGAATGCCTGTTCACCTATCTAATAGTTTATAATCTTTCCAATAACCCTCTATAATAAAATTAGTCCCCATTTACAAGTAAGAAAAATGAGGCTTCAGGAAGTCTCTTTCCCCAATGGCCTGCAGGCTCAGGGATCCTCAGTGCAAGTCCAACATCTCACATCGCCACCAAATAAAATCAATGCACATGGGAATTGAGGAGGAGTAGACACACAACAGTTTTCTGGATCTCTTTAAAACGTGACTCCCACTCCCCGGGAAAGAAAAAAGTAGATACAGTGCTCCGCCGATGTTGGCACAGCACTGATGGGGCAGGAGTGGCTTACAAAAGATCACTTGCCTCCCAGGACCGTGCCTCCTCTACTAACTTCTAGAGTCTTCTGGCGCAGTCTCCTCTTACCGTCAACAACAAGAAGTAATAGTGATGATGATCATAGCCACTAACATTGAGCACTTGTGTGCCAGATACTGGGCTAAGCTCTCTTCCATGCTGAAAGCAACCCCTTGAGACTGGTATTATTAACTTCCTTTTATAGATAAGGGAACAGAGAGATTAAGCAACTTGCCAAGGGCACCCAGGTAGACCTGGGATTTGTTTTGATCTATAGAATATATTTGGGCCCAGCTGGTTGTGCTTCTGACTGTAGAAATGTGTCCCCAGCTCACCTGCTGAATAACACCTTTAGTGTATGGGCATCAGGCTTATCAGTTTGACCTCATCAGCACCACTAATAGTAAGCACCCACCCTGAATCAACAACTCTTCATAGTCATATTGTTAGCCCCCTTTTATCAGTGAACAAACTGAGGTTCGAATAGGTAGAAAAACGTATCTATCAGGACACACACAGTGGCTCACACCTGTAATCCCAGCAGTTTGGGAGGCCAAGGAGGGGAGATCACTTGAGCCCAGGAGTTTGAGACCAGCTTAGGCAACACTGTGAGACCCTGTCTCTACAAAAAATTTAAAAATTAGCCAGACATGGTGGCATGTGCCTGTGATCCCAGCTACTTGGGAGGCTGAGGCAGGATGATTATTTGAGCCCAGAATGTGTAGGCTACAGTGAGCCATGATCATGCCACTGCATTCCAGCCTGGGTGACAGTGAGCCCCTTCTCAATAATATAATAATAATAACGATAATAATAATGTATCCAAGATCACACAGATGGAGAAGCAGCAGAGCTAAGATTCCAGTCCAGGTCTGTCTGGCTATGAGGCACCTTCTCTCTCAAAAATATTAATTGTTGCAACAGCATCCTTCCAAGACTCACTATTTGAGGACCATCTTATGTATACATATATATGTGTGTGTGTGTGTGTGTGTGTATCCAGTTGCAGGTTATCATTGAATCAAAAACAATCCCCACTATAAACAGAGTCCCCCCATCCATTTAGTCAGTGTTCAATTCAGAGTAAAACCTTCAAGAAAGAAGGGAAGGGAGACTGTCCAGAAAGTGAGAGGCAAGAAAGCCACTGGAATTTAACCTTACCTGGTCTGGGGGCAAAGCTTCAACTAGTAATGACAGGGGACCAATCCAGACAGAAAGTAGGATCTCTAAGGAAGGACAAATAATTTGAGGAGGAAGCCAAAGCAAGAAGTAAGATCATGTGGAAATGAGGGGGATTGAGGTCCAGAGTGATAGTGTCCATGGGAATGAGGTAAGTGAAACCAGAAAAGGAACCCAGGATGGGCAGAAATGCGGGTAATGAGAAATGGGAACAGAGTGAGGCCAGGCTAGACATCTTGTGGAGTGAACTGAGGCCGGTATCTACCCAGGGCCACTCCCTAGATCCTTAGGCCTTCATAGAAACCTTTGCCCCACCACACCCCATCCCTGACAGCCTTTCTCTGCCAGGACAAGTTTGTCGTCTGCTCTGAGCTATCAAGCCCCTTAGGAGACCTAAGACCCAGCTGGGTCCCATCCCTTTGGAGTTAACTGCTTCAGACTAGGTAGGTGTGAGGACCTGGACCTCAAATCCCTGGATATTGGGAGTGGGCAGAGGTATAACTGAAAGATATGTTGTTGCATGTCCTGTCTCCTAATAGATGGAACCTATAATGTATTTTTCCCAGCCTAGGAAGCACCTAATTCTTGTGGGCAAAGGAGCCATGGAAGATAGAGCTGGTCAGCAAGAGCAGGAGAGACACAGCCTCCGTCTGGAAAAGCTACAACATTGGGCGAGGCACAGGCAGAGTGGGCACCTCTTGGTGCTGGCGGTGAGGACAGGCTACCCCATCCCAAGTCTCAGCATGTCCACTTCTACCCAATTCAATTCCATCCATCCATCCATCCATGTTAAGTGAGCACCTACCATGTGCCAGAAACTGTGCTAGGTTCTGAATGGGAGGAGGGTAGAGGAAAACATAGAAATAAACAAGGCAAGACCCTTAATCTCCAAGTAGCTTCCATCTTGTGGGGGAAAACATACAGGTAAGTAACTAAACTACAATATGAGGCAGAAAAAATTAAATGATACTTATTTTTTAATGATCACTTCCTTCCTTGCTCTGGGTTGACTGCTTTCCTCTACCCTCCATTTAATCCCATTTCCTGATCTCTAAAGAGGTAGGAGTTATGAGAAGGGAAGAGAATCCCTGACAGTTTCTCCTCAATTACCCTGCCCTTACCCCAGGTGAGTCAGCTATGGCTGGCAGTGGTTGTGGTGCCCCTTGCTGTCTCAGTCGCCTGCCTGAACTCTGAATGTCACATGGCCACAGCGCTGCCTCTTGGGCCTGGAGCCTCAGTAAGACCCACCACAAGGGAGGGTGGAAGGTCCCAGGGCCCCTTCCTAATGGGACCAGAGCTCAACACTTGCCCCTCTCACCATTCAGGGTCTCCTCACTGGGACTGTTACCCTAGAGCTTCGCAGAGCACCCCGCCTCTGGAAGGTGAGAAGGAAGAGAACGCAGCACTGTCCCCCCACTCTTTAAAACAGACACCTACAACCCTCAGCCTAGGAAGTAAGTGGCTAAGTGTTGACTCATCCTCTCAGCTGTCACCACTCACTGGCCTCAATGACTGAGGAGGGAAAGCAAAAAAGTTAGAGGGCTTATGGCCCTGTTTGGAGGCTGAGAAACCGAAGCTGAGTTTTGTCTTCAGCTAGGCTGCAAGTGGGGATTGAGGTTGGAATGACTCCCCTAGGCTGGGCAGGGCTGAGCTGGCTCACTGGCAGGTGCGGGCCATGATGATATTCAACACCTTCAACTTGATCTTGGGTTTCATCGTGGTGGTGGTCGAGGTGATGAAGACAGCCTTGGGGCCTGCCCCAACTGCCTCCTCCCAGGTACTGGTGAATGAAGGAGAAGGTGGGAGGATGAGGAGGCAGGAGGAGGTGAAAAGGGAAAAGGGCAGGGGTGAACAGGTGCGGGGTCCCTGCATTCTCAGCCTTGTCTACCTGCAGCATGTTGGCTTGCTGGTGCTGGAGCTCAGTGCTGAGGCCTTCACCCTAGGGGGAGTGCTGGTCTCAGTGCACGCCCTATTCTTGCTGAGCCAGAGGAAACCAGGATGCTGCAGGAGCCAGAGTCTGCACTACCAGGAGCTGCAGGAGGTATGGGGGCAGGGAAGAAAGCATGAATAGCTAGCTGCCAACTAATTTTTCCACTGGCTATCCTGGTCAGTGGCATTTAACGGAAAACAATGGGGCAGGAGAGAAAAGAAGAGGTCCTAGAATGAAACTGATTGGCTTTCTCTGGCTTTGGACATTTCTCCCCTAATGGTGGGTAAGAGAGAATTGGGAACCCAAATGATTGAGGTTAAAAGAGTGGCAAAGCATTAGGAAGCTGCCTAAATATTGGCAGGACTATGGGAAATAGGATAAAAAACTGGGCAGGAGGAAGCAGTTGTTTCTGTCTGGGGTTCTCCTTTCTCACCTCTACAATTTGCTCACACCTGTCTCTGGTTTTCAGGGCTTCTCTGAGTTGGAAGAGGTTCCTGGTTTGGAGAATGGTCCCACGGTGGCCAGCACAGGAGCAAATGAGAGGGCGGGACAGCGGGAACAGACACGTGCTGCTCTCCTTCCACCCTGAGAGAATGCTCTCCAGACATTCCTGCCCCACCCCACCAAACTCAGAAGCTTGCTGGGATGGTCCAACAGGAAGTCCGGGAATGCCTTCAGTTTTCACTCAGAGCAGGCCCTTTTTGCGTTCCTTCCCTGTTAGGGGAAGATATACCTGGACGAGAATATATCCTCACCTACCACCTTGAAAAGCTGCTTTCTCCCTTCCATCCATATCCTCCCTCCCTGTCACCTCCCCATACAGCTTCACATCTGCCTCATCTCACTCTTTTTTTCTGTCCACTTTTCATAATCCCATCCACTCCAAATCCTGGACCCTGCACACGCCAACTCCCTGAATCCAATTCAGGAGTGCCCCAGTTCCCCTTTCGATCCGTCTCCTTTCTGCTGCAGCGGAGACTACAAGTCCCAGGATGCCCCACTAGCCCGTGACCGGCTGGGAAATAAAGAGCCTTCTCTCCGCGGTAGGGGCGCTGTGGATGTGCTGAGTGACGCGAGGCGGGGAAGTCGGGGCCTAGCCTAGCGCTTTCTCGGACGCGACCACTGGCCCCGCGTTCGGGGAGGAGCCGGGCGGGCGGTCCTGCACTGGCGTGCCGCTCCCCCAGCCACTGCAATAGAGAGCTGGCTCTGGGTCCCCAGCCCTGGGCTGGCAGCTTCAGAGACTGGCGAGGGCTCGGAGCTGACGCTTGGCAGAGCTGGGGCTTCCCAGATGCTGTCGCCGCACCCCCTCGCAGGAGGGCCCAGGTCCGAAGTCCTGAGACTTGGAGCGCGCGCGAGAAAGGGGTTGGAGATGATGAGTCAGAAGCGCGGGGCCTTTCTCGTCCCCTCCCCTAGGGCCTGGGCGCTGAAGACAGGCTCGCTGGGCAGGCGGGTAGATAGGGCAGGCAGAGGGAGGGACGCTGCGACCTGCGTCTCTGCCTAACGCTTTCCCGCCTCTTACGAGCACGCCGGTGTAACGAGCCCGCGCTGCCGCCACCCTTTATCTCCAACGCGGGAGCGGGACTGCGCAGGCTCGGCCTCTGGGCTGACCCGCCGACCTTTGATCTCCGCTGCGGTCGGGTTGCTGAAGTTCTGGCTGCGTTCAACCCCCACCGTTTACGACCTTTGCAAGTGTGCAAAGATAACAGGCTCGCTTGGGCTTGGGAAAAGCCCAGGAGAACTGGGAGTCCCAGTAGCAGCAGCAGCTGGGCAGCTTGCTAGCCGCTGGAAACTAGAAATTGACCAGAGCTGGAGTACCAAGAGAACTCACCCCAAATTCACATAGTGCCCGGGATGGCTGTTGGCCTCACACTCATTTTTGTTCCCACTTGAGAAGGCTTCTTTCCCTAGAGAATGCTGCTTCTCCCGGCCTAGCCAGGGCCAGGCACCAGTGAGGATAGAGCGCAGCCTGGCTGCCTTGCCTTGACATTGCAGTGGCGCCCGCTGCAGCTCCTTTCTGTTTGTGACACCTTGGAAGAGTGGTAATAATCTTCCTATGACAAGGTTAAGTGTGAGTACTAGTGGGTGGGGACAGTTCTGGGATCAGGCTCTGGAATGGAGAAAAGATCTAGGCCTTCTGCATTTCTTCCTCTCCCCTAGTGTAACTGCCAGAATAATGGAGAGCTCATGTGTGCAGGGCTGAGAAAAGAATAATTTTCTTGAAAGTCAGAAGGTGGTGGTAGATGAGGAAGCTGAGGGAAGAAAATTAACAATTTGTTCTGTTTTCCAGGTTTTAGTGATGTGATCAGATTAGATATTGCCTTCTAGTTCCTAGAGAAGCTTGATGACCATGGAAATTAACCTCTATCAGTCAGATTAGGCTAGGCTCTGCTGTGGTAAATGCCAAAACCACAGTGGCTTAAAACCACAAAGGTTTGTTTCTCATACTCCGTGTCCAAAGTAGGCTGGCAAGGGGTTCTGTTCATTGCAAATGTTTAAGGTACCCAAGCTCATGGAGCACCACCATTTTGAGATCCTACCCTGTCACTATGAAGGTTAAAGTTACCCACCCGCCCCCACTCTCAGAATGGAAGTAAGCATGAAGAATTGTTCGTGGACTCTTAAATGCTGCCGTGAAGTGATACATTCATGTCACTTCCACACATTCAATGGCCAAAACAAGTCATATAGCCACACCCAACTTAAGGAAGGCCAGAAGGGCAATGCCTGCAAGGAGAGGGGAAGCAGAAATACTTCATTAAAAGAAACATAGTTGGCGGGGCTGGGAGGTTCACGCCTGTAATCCCAGCACTTTGGGAGACCAAGATGGGTGGATCACCTGAGGTCAGGAGTTTGAGACCAGCTTGACCAATATGGTGGCCGTCTCTACTAAAATTACAAAAATTAGGCCGGCATGGTGGTGGGTGCCTGTAATCCCAGCTACTCGAGAGTTTGAGACAGGAGAATTGCTTGAACCCAGGAGGCAGAGGTTGCAGTGAGCCAAGATCACACCACTGCACTCCAGCCTGGGAGACAAAGCGAGACTGTATCGAAAGAAAAAAAGAAATGGATTAATAGTTTGTGGTGATTTTTGAACAGCTTAGCAGTTGAAATTTATCTGTTCCAGCAGTTATGCTCATACCTACTTCTTTGGTTTGGTTTCATGAACCCCTAAGTTCTTACTAGAAATTTTTCCTCAATAGGACTGGGACTCAGGAAACCTAGATTCTAATTCTGTTGCTTGGGCAAGTCAGACCTGTCTGAACTACATTTTGTTCACTTGGAGGTTATGGTAATAATATTTATTCTCTCTACCTTACTGGAGTATCAAGGCTAAAATAAAATCACACAAGGAAAAGTACTTTAAAATTATAAACCACTTCAGGGGTTGAAAATAAATTGCCTGTAAAGGTAAGAAGTCGTTTAAATGATAATTTCTTAAAACTCAAGACCCAGTTCAGCTATAGTTCTTCAGTCATCAGTCTGCATTAGATAAACATAGTAGGAATTCAGGTTTTGAATATATGTTACAGTTCATGTAGACCTTGCAAAGTCTAAGAGTCTTAGATTAAACATTAAATTCTTAAAACCTTTCTGATAAAACCTTTTTCATCATATCCCTCTAGGGCATTGGTTCTCAGAGAAGGGTCATTTTGTTCCCTAGAGGATATTTTGCAAGGTCTGGAGACATATTTGTTAGTCACAACTGAGGAGAGGGGGAGGTGGGAATATGTAACAATGGAAGGCGCAGTAGATGAGAAGTCAGATTTGGGATTTAGTTCCAGTGCTACTAATGCCGCCTTCCTGTGCATTATCCTCTGCCAGCTGCAAGCAAAGACTATTTGAAACTTGTCCTGTGTTCCTCATTATTCCCCCTCCACACTGCCTATTGCCAGAGTCCCGGGCTGCTCCATGACAGCATTCTGCTTTGCTGCAGTGATTCCCAGCAACCACTGTATCTGCTGCTTTCTTCATCAGTTTGGCAGCCTCTGTGGAGGTCACTCATCTTACTTGAATGAGAACTTCACCGAAAGAAGAAACTGACAAGGTTTCCGCTGACATCAGTTTTTAAAGGCCATAACCCCTATCTATTCTTTTAAACATTAAAGAAATCCAGTTCATGATATGTGGCTTCATATGCAGCAGTGGCACATTGGTGGTTGGGAAATTCTCCATGTGAATACATTTTACCCTCATTTCTTTGAAATTCTGTCATTTATTCTGGCTTTTAATACATGAATATAGACAACTGACGATATTTCACAAATGAACTCTTCCATTTCTGAATCTGCCTTTTGGCAAGATGGCTCAGGTTTCTTGTCCAGGGCTGTGTCCTCTGCTGCCATCTCGTGGCCTCTTGGCTGCCCAGGTTGAGGTCTCATAAAGCGCCTTCCCTAAGGTAATGGCGTTTGGCAGTGGCTTAGTTAGAGAAAGACTCTTCTCTCCATGGTGTGGGGCGCTACCCAAGTTCCTCCTCTGCAATGGGTCCCTGAGGGCAGCAGCACACTCGGCCTGGCTGGAAACCTGGGCCTCACAATGAGGCAGGAGGTGGAGGGCCCCTCCTGGTCTTCTGCAAACCCTTGGGCCTCTGTGTCTGTTATGCAGTCCTGGCCAGGAGCCACCAAATTCAGTGAACCCAACTGCCCACGGGTAATTGAAGCTGAGCGCCTGCTTGGCCTGAAGAATGCAGTCTCTTGCCCCTTGCCACCTGGGGCTGGGATGCTCTTAATTTCAGTAAGAAATGAAGAGTCTCCCATCAGGTTTTGGATTCTAGGCCCACACAAAATGGGCCTAGACAAGAAAACAGAAGAGTGTGTTGCTCTGTGTCCACACCCTTCATCCTAGCGGGCCCAGCCAGTGCTGCCTCAAATTTGACATTTGATTGATGGACTGAGCGGGACAGTGGCAGTGGTGTTGTCGCTGAGTCACTGTTTCCTATAAATATGACAGGATCTATGTACTACAGTGATCAGAGGTCCATCACCAGGGAACTGGGAATGTGACAGACTGCCCTGACCTGGGCTGCTGCTGCTGGTCACTGAGCAATGAGCACAGGAGGTAAGGAAGGAAAATGTTTTTAGTTGCTATTTTTTTCATTGTGAACATGAAATATATGTATATATACAACTATATATATACACACACATATATAGTTAAAAATCTTCCCATTGCTAACAGTAATTCGTACAACTTTCCCCTAGTTGTGAGCCCCCTCTCCTGACTCCACCCAGTTCCCATAACCCCTAATCCCAGCCTTCTCAAAAAAAAAAGGAGGAAGAGAGGAGGAGGGGAAGGAGAAAGGGAAGGAGGAGGAGGAAGAAGAAGACTGCTTTTGGTGTTTGCTTTAACCTGATGTCCCCATTATAATTCAGAAGGAAAGGCCTGCTCATCTAATTTCCTAGGACCTCAGGCCAGAGACAGCCATACTTACAGGTAAATTGCTACTAGGCTGGCATGTGTTGCTTGTCCTTAAAATTCAGATGCCATTTACTCTCATCTTCTGTTTATGTTTTTCCTTGTTCGCCTATTTTTCTTTTTTCTGACTTATTTCATTTATATTTTGTGTTGCGTATTTTTCTTGGATCCACTTAGCATCTAAATCTTTGGTTTATTTTTCTTATCAGAAGCTTTTCCTAAGTTCTGTCCAGAGTTAATGGATTTTCTTTGTTGATTCTTGACAGTTTTCCCTTGCCATTATAAAGTCTTCTTGTTTTTACCCAAGTCCAAACTTCTACAATATAATTTTGTTTGCTTTGCCTCTTTATGTGCTCTTTATATATAAAGAAAATGTTATGTGCTCGCTTTTTTTTCTTTTTTTTTTTTTTTTTTTTGGAGACAGGGTCTGGTTCTGTTGCCCCAGGCTGGAGTGCAATAGTGTGACCTTGGCTCACTACAACCTTCGCGTCCTGGGCTCAAGCCATCTTCCCACTTCAGCCTCCCAAGTAGCTGGGACTACAGATGTATGCCACTACATCTGGCTACTTTTTGTATTTTTTGTAGAGAAGAGGTTTCATCATGTTGCCCAGGCTGGTCTCCAACTCCTGAGC